ATCAGTAATCTGACGGTTATTGAACATGTTTTAAATTGGATTAAGAGAGATGTAATTCTTTTTATCACATGACAATACATTCTGTTTGACAAGTAAAGTATCTCATGTCCATGATGCTGACTAAACCTGTCCCACTGTCTGATTACCAATGCTCACGGTATAGTGTTTATATTCAGTTACATACATGTATTTTCAAATTCTATATCGTCAACTATCACAGGTGCATAAATCGTTCGGAAATATAACTGTTGTTCTGGTCGAGAGGAACTCTAAACGCATAAAAAAAGTTATTGTGGATTTGTATGCTGTCTATATGGATGTGTGGATGCAAGTATATGTACCGCCTCCTTGGTGTAGTGGTTTGAGCGCCCGGCCGGAGAGTGGAAGGTCGCGGGTTCGATCCCCGGCCGCGTCATACCAAAAGACGTTAAAATATAGTACTTGTTGGTCCCTGCCTGGCGCTTGGCATTAATTGTACAACTTTCCAAGGCGTTCCGACTAGCACCTTTACCTGGCAGGTAGATGGTATTTTACCTGTCGGTATCCCTCACCTGGGATGGTGTGTCGTTACCTGAACTACGGTATACCCCCCGTACTTCGGTCCTGACGATAAGGGATGTGCGAGCGGTACAGTGTCAGTACCCGGGGGCCCTTGGACCTTTACCGTAGTCCATCCAGCAAACACAAGACGATGATCTTCGTTCAATAGTTTTTATTAACACTGTGTTGCTGGTCAACCTACTCTATGGTCACTCTATAAGACTTCAGCCGCAAAGCTTCAGTCTTAAGCCAAATGCTGGTGCTTCAAGATAATTTCTCAGACGATTCCTTGTGACCAACAGCAAGAGCAGGCCCGCACCAGACTCCCGTTTCTGGGCTTTGCTCCAGCTTAAACCTGGGTTCCTACGTCACAGCCAACACCCTTTTCATTTTTTCTATTGGTCAATAACCCATAACTTGACTATCTATTATTCTCCCCCCACCTCTATTTCGTACCCCCATTACCATATTTGTACGACCGTGAGGTGGATTCCAGGAATCTCAGAGTCTCTCTCCCCTAACCATATATGGCTCGTAGAGTACCAAGAACTGGTAGCCAGGTCCCCGGCCACGTCGCTCCATCTTGATAGTATAGTAATTTTCCCTATCTAAGCTATGAGTCACCTCACCCTGCCCTCATCAGCTCCAACGACCTACTTTCATGTTCATTACCTACGTTACTGACTTTCTACCTTACTTCCTACCTTACAACGTTATTAATCACTTCATATCTTAAATATATTATTAAATCCTTTCATACTTTATATCTTCTCCCCTCTTAATCACCTGTCATTAGTAATGTTAATTGTATATCTCTTATTGTGGCAAGTACCATAATCTCTTGCCTATAATACAACAACGACTGGTCGGTTCGGAGCCAGTGTAATGTGTCTGAGTGGGGTATTCATGCTTAACTGCGGAATGGTATCTCAGTGAGCTAGCACTAAAAAACCAGCCGAGGTCTGGGCTAGTTCAAGCAGCCGCACATACACACGTATGCAAGTCGTCATATTTTTTTAAGTGCGACGTTAAACACCATTTCACCTCACCACACCCATGAGTATGTTTGGTATTTATGTTCGTGTGTGTTGTTTATGTGTGTGAGTAGACTTGTGTGTGATAGTAATGTGCAAGCGTCTGTATGTGTGTGAGGTCTTTCTGTGTATGTGTGTGCATGTGTTAGGTATTTGTGGGTTAAGCTCCTGCATGTGTGTGGTGTTTCTGTGCTTGCATGCCCATGTTTGTGGTGTATATGTGCATGCGCGTGCATGTCTGCGGTGCGTGTACAAAAGCGTGTGGTTGTTGCTGGCGCGTATGCGTATGCGTGTACACATGTGTAGTGTCTCTGCGCACGTGTGGGAATGTATGCGATGTTCGTGTGTCAGCTTGTCAATGTTGGTGGTCTTTCACCACACAAACGTGCCTGACAACGAATGAGATTTTACAACGCTTCGTGTGGTTTCTGTGAACTACCGTAACATTTGTAAATGTATACATTATATTCCATAACCAAACTACTTATGCACTGAGAAATACAAATTAAGAGAGATTAAGAGAGATTAAGAGAGATTTAAAAGGGACTGATCTACAAGAGTAGCTCCAAGATCTGTAGAACAAGAGATTGGTGGCTGAATTGATGGTGGTTGGCGATGAGGGAGTACTTACACGAAGTAATAATACTCCAGCAATATCATAGGGTACTAATTACATGTTTCACACATTGACTCATGTGTGAAATCGAACTCAGGTGCCGAAAGAAATGTTGAACCAACAGGTCACTAAATCGTCCCTTTCCACACCAGGTTCGTTGGCGTGACTGGTGCTCAATATATTCCTTACAGCTTGCACAACAAGCTACTGAACTAAGCACATTTCGTCTACCTGATGTGTAATGCCCTAAGTGGTTATGCTGCATGTATGATGTACATTGTATCATCTCACGCCCATAGCAACCCAGACACACAGGCTAATGGCATAGACGGGATAATTCAGCGGACTCTGGTCTTGTGGGTTGAGGAATTGGTAATATCTCTTGTATTGCTGATTATCAGGATGTCCGGTTGTAACGCACCTTTACAGCAATGTTTTCCCCCTATGCACCAGAAATCCATACTTCTATTTAATACCTGACACATCGACTTTGTTTAATGTGTTTAAGGTTATTACACCTCAATGATGACCCTTGTTCGTATAGACAACTCATGACAAACCCTCAACCCAGTGAAGATGAAAACATTCGATGTCAGTTTTGTGCATCGTTTACTCGCTGCTTAAATCTTGAATGTCAACAATATGCTATGCAACCCGCTTAAAAGAGAAATTAGTTGATTCCGTAAACTCGAATAACGCTACAGCTTGTCATCTTGTAGCTGTAATGCAGCGAACAGCGTCGATAAACAACGACATCTAACATATTGATCAACGAGTTGATTGATGGTGTCATTGGTCATACATGTAATGGATCAAGACTACAGAAGGAACTCACTCACCCTTAGCTTATATGACATTATATCGTGTCATTATATCGCTAGACCTCGTTGTCTGGTGATAAGGCGTCATCTTACTGCGATCCCAGTGTTACACAGAATTCACTGGTCCCCGCTGTTGTCATCCTCGACTGAGGGGCAGTGGGGTAGCCTAATGGTTAAAGCGTCCGCACGTCATGCTGAAGACGTGGGTTCGATTCCCCACATGGATACAATACAGGTGTCCCCCGCCGTGATATTGCTGGAATATTGCTGAAAGCGACGTAAAATCATACTCATTCACTCACTCATCCCCGACTGTACAGGGTGTTTTATCTATAACTCAATGAATAATCCCCAATATAGTCACTGAGACTTATCGATTATAATTGCAAACTCATCTCAGGCCTTCACCCGTTCAGGGAATACTTTTATTGATTTGTTTGGGGTTCAATCCTGCTGAGATCAAAGATAGAATTAAGGGGACTAGATCAATACCGAAATATTCTGTACACAGACGGTCATTATTTCAGATAAACTCTTATTATGACGCAATGTTTAAACTGTTTACTGAGCCCAAGATCTTCATACTATGACATGCACAGAAACCGACGTATGCACGGGTACTAGGGTGTCTTCTCTATAGTTACTAGGTAAATGATATCTTGGTATGTACTTACTAGATACTAAGATATATTAGTACCGGGGTTCCCGTACGGGAAATCACTGTTCTAACGATGAAACAATTTAACCATAATTAAGCCAAGGGCTTAAATATCGAACATGCACACGCAATATGTTGATTACATAAATAGACTCGGGTTATTTTTAAACTCTTTTATCAGAAAACTGGTCAATAAATTCAAAATTGAATGACCACATGGGTCAATTTAACTACAACTGCATGCACATCATTAAGATGATGAATTTCTGTCATGAATGAAAAAAACCCGTCGAGGTTCGCCATGCGTTTGGAAAGTGTGTTAATACGGTAATTCCCGGCATGTAGTAGGTGGGTACAAGGCAAACTTAGCATCTAATTACGGGATGTTGAATATCTTAGTATGTAGGCATTTGGCCGCTGTGTGTCGTATTGTTTAATTACGTGGTATCTTAGTTTGCGATAACTGTGTAATACGAAGACATCTTATTATTACTGTGTAGTAAGATATCTTAGTATGTTGTAACTGTGTACTATCATGATGTCGTATTATCTAACTACTGGGGTATCTTAGTATGTAATAACTCTAATCATGGTATCTTATTTATTGTCTAATAACTCTGTACTTGTGCTTTATAGTGTGTAAGTACTCGGTACTGAGGTATTTCCGTATCAACTTCTCAAGGAGGCTCTTACTCCAGTATCACTTACATTGGATCATTATTAGAATAACCTTTACTAAGTATGTATTTACAAAATACCGGAGTATCATAGTATCTCATTATTGACTACACGGTTATTGATACTCCATTAATTGGCATGAAGTATTTTATAAAACTATTAAACTATACTCATGCCAATAATGGTTGTCACCCCTTCAATTTTTTTTATTGGAGAGGGGGTGTGAGGATGGGGTTTGTGGGGTGGGGGGGAGGGGGTGACAACCATTATTGGCATGAGTATATTTCCCTGTCACAGCTGACGTAGGTGAGTGAAACGGACATAAAATGTTTCCAAACTACATTCGTTTAACACTGTAAATATGATTCTTTTACTTAGGAAGAATGTCCGTGTCAAGAGTTTGACTACCGCAGAAGTCGGGATTCGAATCCGGAGTGTGCCGATACTTTCTGGTCTTCGATATTATCTAACGTCAGCAGTTCACTGACACTTACGACACACCAGCATGCCAGCGACCTCCACATGCGTGGTACGGAACTTCGGCGGGAACGATGAATCCACACCAACGGCGGAGGTTTCGCCGATCTTGTTACATCACAAGAGATACGAACAAGATTCCCTTTACACAACCCTGACCTGTTCCCCTTTCATCATATGTTCCACTATTTTTATTCAAATGAGTAGGTACATTCAACCATAATAAAGGCCATAATTGTACACAGTGAAGAGTCATGACTCATCAGTTTCATCTTAATCAAATCGTTTAACCTGGGTAGTTGCATAGAAAAAAATCCTGCTCAAGCAATTGGCTTGACGTTCATTTTGGGGTTACATCTTAAAACGCAAAGAATGGGTTTGGCAAGGCAAAAATCATTCAGGGAACTGTTAGAGGTACCGGTGCTATGGCACAAGAACACGGCATGGTTGTCCTCAGAAACTGCATAGATTGTACTGACTGCTCTGGAGGGATGCGACTTTGACATGGGTCGAAATATGTTAATATTCCGTCAATGAGACTATAAATCCATGATAAGATTTTTTCCATATACTGTGCTAGGGTTGATTTAAGATTAAGGTTGAGTAGAAGTTGAAATGGTCATGATGATGGTAGAAGAGAGGGTGTTGGTAGACTATTACAGCTGTGGCGGACACTGGAACATGTCAGGCCAACGTGAGGTAGACCTGGTAGCAGGCCACGGGGGCGTTGTTCATCGTCATGTTCAGCTGACCAAAGTAGTCCCCAGCAGGCAGGAAGGAGGCATCCACCTCAAACTGAGTCTTGGGCAGTGTGTAGTTTCCCCTGGAAACAGATACACGGTGTCGTGTGTTGTACAGAAAATAGACCGGAAGATAAAACTGTAACTATTGCTTACATCGTATACAAACACGCACACAGACAGACACACACACGCACACTGTAGTCCGTCTCACATTTCTGAACTTTATTATTCTATTTTCCACCCAGCCTTCCTTTCTGCAATGCTAAGGCCCTAAATGAAGCAAGTCTAGATTTCCTCAGGGTGTGAGTCTCCGATCTCAGTGGGGCTCATATACATTTATTCTGAGACTAAGCGTTAGCCCAACACACAGAGGTGTTCGAGCAAAGGATAGGCATAGGTTACGCACTAGTGATCCAGTGGTCATGCAGTTGACAGGCGTCTTGGTCTGAATCCAAGATCTGTCATCATTATGAGTGTATGACTGTCAGCGTAACTGATTTTGCTCTCAAGAGAGATTCACGCCATTTTGTAAGCGTATGTTTGCGTGTACAAAATATGTATGGTCAGATGGTTCCTGAAACAAGGGCATTAACTCATGCGTGACATAAAAGTTGATTGCTTCCACATTCACCTGGTTGAAGGGACACTGGCAGGGCACGTTATTGTCGATGAATGGTTGTGGACATTCCGGTATCATGTCCAGGATTTCACAGAAGTCATCATAGTCACAGGTGCCGAACTGGTTGATACAGGGGATAGTGATCCAGTTGGACGTCACCCTCTTCTTGATCTGCACAGAGGTCTGCAAGGGGGTGGCAGAGGAACGTATGTCGTAATGGACACAAATATAGATATCAATACCAATGACTAATATGACAAGTTCTATTCGTATGCATGCAACATAACCATCTTCTACACAGTCGTTAAAGTATTTCGTTGAAACACGACAACAGTCAGTGAAACATTCCTACAGCCACTGGCACATACAGCCATTCGCATTGCAACTGGTCTACAGTAATTGATACACAACAGACAGTGTTAAAAACTAACTGACATTGAACCTTGTCAACTGTTCCCAGAACATGCACACAGTCACTGACATATGTCTCAAGTCACATTGAAACATGCATATAGTCACTGACACATGACTCAAGTTATAATGAAACATGCATATAGTCACTGACATAAGTCTAAAGTCACAGTGAAACATGCATATAGTCACTGACACGTGTCTAAGGTCACATTGAAACATGCATATAGTCACTGACATATGTCTAAACTCACAGTGAAACATGCATATAGACACTGACACATGTCTAAAGTCACAGTGAAACATGCATATAGTCACAGACACATGTTTAAAGTCACAGTGAAACATGCATATAGTCACTGACACATGTCTAAACTCACATTGAAACATGCATATAGTCACTGACATATGTCTAAGGTCACATTGAAACATGCATATAGTCACTGACATATGTCTAAAGTCACTGTGAAACATGCATATAGTCACTGACACATGTCTAAAGTCACAGTGAAACATGCATATAGTCACAGACACATGTTTAAAGTCACATTGAAACATGCATATAGCCACCGACATATGTCTAAAGTCACAGTGAAACATGCATATTATAGTCACTGACACATGTCTAAAGTCACAGTGAAGCATGCATATAGTCACTGACACATGTCTAAAGTCACATTGAAACATGCATATAGTCACTGACATATGTCTAAAGTCACAGTGTGACATGGATATAGTCACTGACACATGTCTAAAGTCACATTGAAACATGCATATAGTCACTGACATATGTCTAAAGTCACAGTGTAACATGCATATAGTCACTGACATATGTCTAAAGCCACAGTGTAACATGCATATAGTCACTGACACATGTCTAAAGTTACATTGAAACATGCATATAGTCACTGACTTATGTCTAAAGCCACAGTGTAACATGCATATAGTCACTGACACATGTCTAAAGTCACAGTGAAACATGCATATAGTCACTGACATATGTCTAAAGTCACAGTGTAACATGCATATAGTCACTGACACATGTCTAAAGTCACAGTGAAGCATGCATATAGTCACTGACACATGTATCAAGTCACAGTGAAACAGGCGTATAGTCACAGACACATGTCTAAAGCCACAGTGTAACATGCATATAGTCACTGACACATGTCTAAAGTCACAGTGAAGCATGCATATAGTCACTGACATATGTCTAAAGCCACAGTGTAACATGCATATAGTCACTGACATATGTCTAAAGCCACAGTGAAGCATGCATATAGTCACTGACACATGTCTAAAGTCACAGTGAAACATGCATATAGTCACTGACACATGTATCAAATAACAGTGTAACATGCATATAGTCACTGACACATGTCTAAAGTCACAGTGAAGCATACATATAGTCACTGACACATGCCTAAAGCCACAGTGTAACATGCATATAGTCACTGACACATGTCTAAAGTCACAGTGTAACATACATATAGTCACTGACACATGTCTAAAGTCACAGTGTAACATGCATATAGTCACTGACACATGTCTAAAGTCACAGTGAAGCATACATATAGTCACTGACATATGTCTAAAGTCACAGTGAAGCATACATATAGTCACTGACACATGTCTAAAGTCACAGTGTAACATGCATATAGTCACTGACATATGTCTAAAGTCACAGTGAAGCATACATATAGTCACTGACACATGCCTAAAGCCACAGTGTAACATGCATATAGTCACTGACACATGTCTAAAGTCACAGTGTAACATACATATAGTCACTGAAACATGTCTAAAGCCACAGTGTAACGTGCATATAGTCACTGACACATGTCTAAAGTCACATTGGAACATGCATATAGTCACTGACACATGTCTAAAGTCACAGTGAAGCATGCATATAGTCACTGACACATGTCTAAAGTCACAGTGAAGCATGCATATAGTCACTGACACATGTCTAAAGTCACATTGAAACATGCATATAGTCACTGACATATGTCTGACGTCACAGTGAAACATGCATATAGTCACAGACACATATCTAAAGTCTCGGTGAAACATGCAAATAGGCACTGACACATGTCTAAAGTCACAGTGAAACATGCATGTAGTCACTGACATATGCCTACAATCATTGACCCATGGATACAGTTATTGAAACAATCTAACAGTCACGTAAGCATGGGGGAGCATGTCAGCTGTCACGGAAACATGTCTACAGTCCCTGAAACAATGAAACTGACAATAGTCATTACGTCATGTTGACTATATTCATTACTGCTGTTCAGAATAGCGTGTTGTGAATTTCATAATAAATAAAAATTCATTATTCGCATAGACCAACTGGATTGCTTTAGCGGAGATATTCAAACTAATGCCAACTAAAAGCATTTGAATTATAGTGCAATTATATTATTTATGGAGTCACGATGTCAGTTAAGCAATGAAAACGAGCTTAAGGGTTATGACCCCAGAATTAGTATGTGAGTGAAAATATATATTAGAGTTCGTGGTTCAAATTGTGGTACGGATATTTGCAGCCCAAACCTTCAGAGGAGACTGGACTGCCCTGTAGATGTTCAAAGCGAAAGCCACACCTATTTCACCCGGAAGTTGTATGGGGTCAGGGGTTACTTGAAGAGTAACAAGCTTGCCGGCTTCAGTTGCGGGGTTGCCACAGTTCTTGACACTAAACGTTGTCAGCCTTGTTGCTGGCTGTATTCCCTGAGTGAAACAAAACATTGATGCTTTATCAGTAGTTATAAATTCTACTCCCAGGTGTTCACTCTAAGAACGTCTCTGTTTCCGTGTTTCTCATCAAAATAAGTAGTGTATAGAATCGCGTCAGTCATGCCATGCAATACCTTCAACGCTGCAACTCTGTCTGATATACATTAATGACGCCAATCTGGAGGATGTATACGTGGTGCTCGAGTCATTGTAAAAACTACCACGAATTCCAATACGAAATTGTACTGTTCTGTTTATCCAAAAAAATATATTAAGCCTCCCTATGGCATTCTCTGGATGACATTAAATAGAAGCGACAAAACCCTTTTCCCAACCAGAAGAAATTAAGTTCAGTTCCCGGATGGACTAAATGGTCAACAAAAAGCGCGAGGCCGAGTGTGTTGTTGAAACTATAGGGTTACAGCTTTAATAACCTATCTACAGAAATGACAGTTTTAATTACCTATCTACAGATAGGACAGTTTTAATGTTCTCGGAGATATGTCATACTCTGTGGTGTAAACAGCATACAGATAATTTTGAGGGACACCTGTGCTAGACACACAGATGTGCCTTCGTTGTTATAAGCGGTGAGATAACATGTAGAGATAACTGTTTGTATGTGTCTGGAGATCCACGAGTGTTGTCCCTGTTGTCAGTCGTGCACAGATAATGAGAGAGTCTTATATCAGTAACCTTGGACTGTCAATATGTGTAGTGTAGGTACTAGTGAAAGATGCGGGTTATAATTAATCTTCAGTAACCCATGCTTCTCGTAAAAGGCGACTAACGGGTTCGGATGGTCAGGCTCGCTGACTTCGTTGACACTTGTCTTCGTGCGTACATCAATGTTCATGCTGTTGATCACTGGATTGTCTAGTCCACACGCCACACTCAACAATAATCTAGCTATATGGTCTGTAAATAAATCGAGTCTGGGCAAGACAATCCAAAGGTCAACAGCAGGAGCATCTACGGGATACGACGACATGTGTCAAACAAGCCAGCGATGCTGACCACCTGATCCCGTAAGTCGCCTCTTACGACAAGCATGGGTTACTGAAGATCAATTCGGTTTTGGCTGCTTTAAGGCTACAGAGTGAGTGAGTTTAGTTTTACGCCGCACTCAGCAATATAAGGCTACAGAGGCATGTAATAGTTGTTGCGGGCTGAGTTATTTTTTAGATAAGCGTTACTGTAGACGTCAGCGGGAAAATATGTATATAGTGTAACCAAAATGGACTTTCACCGGGTGGTAGGGGTTTGGAGTAGTGTTACAGTGGTCATATACGTGATCTTAACAACTCACGTGTTTCTGGAAATATGACTTCGGCATGTACCTCTCTGGTGTCCGAGGTCGCATTAAAATCTGAAAAATATCTTGCGCATCCTTCTCAGCATCATCGTAGGCACTGAAAGTAACGACGCCGTACGCCGCTGCAACCACTCCAAGAAGTGCTGCCAAAGTTAGACCGTGCATGATGAGATGCTTCAAGCTCTGGTGTGTCTGTCACCGGGATGAAGTGATGACTGGTACTGAAGACCACCTTTGTACCGTTCCCCGTCTGGCACACCACTCCAGAAAGATAACACACAGATAGACTGGTGTGCAATGTACAGTACTTAGGTACTCGGCGTGTGATAAAACGATGTATAGATGCACCCAACATGTAATAGTTAGATACTTGACAGACGGTGATCACTTATCTTGATTCCAACACCTTGAGGAGGTATCTGACATGCTGACGATGCTGATAGTTGATAGTATCTTTGTATCATAGTCCACCCGATGTTAATTTTAAAATAAATATGTTACACTACTGATCACAATAAAGTATACATCTCGGACATCCTTTCTGACAACCCTGTGACGTTTGACTTTCCCAGTTACACTGAATATGACATTACGTGTCATCAGTTTACATCAGACCGTTGGCAAATATATGAAATTCATCAAAAATTTCAAGACGTTGCCCTCTCTTAACACATGGACCTCACCCTCGATACACCGAAAATCAAGGACGAATACAAGTTCAACCTGGTCTACATCGCTGTACAATACCACTGAACAATAATATCTCAGTTAACGTTGCACAGTTGCTAACAACGCTGAACTCGATCGCTGGTGTTGACGTGTCATTGCCGCTTTGCCTGTATGTCCGTATTCCCGAAGAACGTAATCGTCGTTACTCTGACGCCACAAAAACATTCCATATGCACAAATGAATGTCATGGAGCACGTGGGGTGCCTCTCACATGACTGTAAACTTGACCTTTTAGCTATCTTACAAAATCTAAATTGGCAACGGTACATCTCAGACATCCCAGAGAGAGTTGTTGTACCACATGTCGATGACCATCTTTAATCAAAATGCCATTCTTCATGGACGACAATGCTAGGCCATAACATGCACGTGCCGTTTGTGATTTGACGTGTAATACCTTTAGCGGTCTACTCCCATTTGCGAGAACTCCCAGTTGCGAGACTCCCAGTTGTGAGACAGGGGAGAAGGTAAGCAGCAAAGAAAACACACCTTACTCCCCTATCTGATAGAATGGATTAACCCCAGCTAATTAGGGATTAGCTATTTAACTGAATCTTGTGGAGGTAGCTTAAAAGATAAAGTAATTAACCTACTCAGGTAAATGGCTTTAAAAAATAAACACTTTGTGTAGGTAACTTCGTGAATTAATCCAAATGTATTTATTAACCTGTGACTGCTCTTTCCGATCACCATTATGGCAGGCCTTCAACAAGTAGAATACATCACCAGTTCACGAGGCAGTATTCAGGTGCTCTTTCAGGGTAACCTGTATTACAAGAACAAGCAGCGGCAGACTTGTACCTATTGGAGATGTACAATACGAACGTGCAACGGCAAATGCACTACAGTCGGCGACTATATTCGGAATGTGACTGACCCTCCAGAAGATGTCCAACGCCTCCGTTTTGTGAGGGAAATAGACAATCGACTACCTAGACTCAAAGATCAACTTGCAGATGGATCGAAAAATCACATGCAGTATCTCGATGCAGTCGGCAAACGGCTGAAAATATGAAAAGTGTCAAAATCTCCAAATATGGACCCATGTAAAAAAGTGTTTTATAATGACACACAAACATCATAATAACGCAAATCATCAAAATGTGAGAATAAAAAATGATAATGAAGTATTTTAATGAACTATTTCTTCTGTGTAAATATAATGATAATCTTTTTCAGTATTTCAGTATTTAACTTGTTCTTAATTGAAATCAATAAATGCTCTTCAATGAACAATGTCTTCTGTGTCTCATTAATGAACTATGCCTCCTGCGGGTACTCTTCAGCAACAGGGCTGTTCCCACTTTCATCGTAGGGATTGGGAAGCACCACCTGTGTGCAACTGGGAGTTCTCGCAAATGGGAGGACACCCCTTCAGTGGGGAGGAGGGTCGGGGATGTTATTGCAGACAGCGGGGTTTACATCAGATATTGACACTGTGCTCGGTTAAAACGTATGTGATTTCTTGTGGACTGCATGACATACCGCCATATGCTTGATAATGTCACACGTCCATAGTTACCAACACTAAAATTAGCAAGTCTTTTCATGTTTCAATTGCTTCTCCAAATATACTACAGTTATCGGTTCTTTTGCAATTTAGATTTGTCATTTACTTGTTTCGTAGGGATCAGTTGATCCTGATAGTAAGTCAAATTCAGGTTTGGAGAATTTTTTTGCTTTGGGTAATGGTGATGTCGCCGACAGCCTTTTGTTGCTCTATCTTTCCATCAGAAGGCTGCTTCTCCACTGTCTTATATGGGGAGTTGTACGTGCTACCAGTACTCAGGTCAACACCAAAATCACGGGCTTCTACACCTGTGATGTATGACAATTTGAATTCACATTCTGTTGTCATCCGTCAGCCATCACACATGTATGGCCGACACAACATCTTACTAATGTTGTATAATTTCATAATTCACAGGTGAGCACCCTCTCTATATGTTTTCTCTATTTCTTAGTGCTAAATATCTAATTATTATTAGTTAAATACCTTAAGTTAGTAAACATATTGTTACCGATCGCGCATAAAGTAAACATATCTATCGCGTTTCACTTACTAACTTTAGCACTAGCACTTAAGACAGTGTGTGAGTATATTAATAATTTATTTTATAACCCTTTTATTATCAACACCAACTGTGTCTAGTTTTAGCAAATAATATGATGCATCATTTGCATGTGAAGTCATGATGTAAACAATCACTTACTTATTCAACTGTTACCATAATTATAACGTATGTCACTGTGCTATGATGTTATTAATTGTATAATTAATATGCTTGCTTGATTGGCATTCAATTGTCATCCGTCAGCCATCACACATGTATGGCTGACACAACATCTCATAATGTTGTACGATTTCATACGTCACAGGCAATAAACAAGATGGTTTACACAAAGAGGATCTCCGTCCTATATTTTGTCTACTTGGCAAGACTAAGGCCTGAACCCGCGACAGTCACATATTAATACTGTGAAAAACATGGGATGCTGAGATACTTTGTCCGTGTGTAAAGACCGACGTCAAACTCCAGTCTAACCAGGCGGGGTGACAACAAGTACCATTATCTACTTAGTTTAGGATGACGGTTAGGAATCGAACCACCTACATTCCGCTCTCCGGATAAACGGTCTCTCCACGTTGGTGGCCCAAACTGCCATTCAGTACGTCTGTTACTCGCATGTGACGTAGCACATAAGCTCCGCCCACTAATGACTATTCATCTTCATTGTGGACTTAACACTGTTTGGGTTTAAGGGTAGCACATACGTAACTGTATTCACACTGTCTAACATGTACAGGAACTATTCCGTTTCCGAATAGTGCTGTAAGGAGGCGAGCGGTAGCTATTGTACACCAGTCATGTCTCTGTAAGGGCCTTTGAGTTGTGGAGTGGTTCAAGTGGGTATTAATGCAATGTTGTCAGAACTTCAGCAACCTCTGCTACTGATACTGCGATGCTTGTTGTGTGGTGAAGATTTATGTGAACTTCCAAACTCTCGACACCGAATAAACAGCAAGTCGGTCATTATAACTGGTATATGACTGAAGTGTTAATATCTTGTATATGGTAAATCACATGCCTCTAATACGCATGTAGATCGGTCAGTATAAATGAATTGCAGTAACAGCCAGTGTACTGGTACCTGGACAATATACATTCAAAGTATATTTGAGTTAGTTATTCGGTTTAGTTTAACGCCACTTTTAGCTTTATACCAGCAATATAGCGAGGGAGACCAGAAATGGGCTTCACACGTGTTGGGCATCGAACCCGGATCTTCGGTTTGACGAACAAACGCCTTAACCACTAGGCTATCCCACCGCCCCAGTTACATTAATGAAGTAGCAGGATAATGTAGGAAATGAGCTAGAATACAAATCAGCCACAACTGGGTTAAATGCAACACATACATTTGGTTTAATGTTTATTTCTACAAGACAATATATCATTAGGTTATCTCAAACGTCGCAGTCTAAAATTGCATCAAGGGACAATATTTCACCCCCAACACGGCAGTTCTAATATTGTGCGTTCTATGAGATAGCAAGGACATTCTAATCGAAAATGTGGACCTGTTCCAGGCGGTTCATCAGTAAACTGACGAAATCTAGTTAAAAACTTCATCATGTCTGTAACGACGATGCGTTTTCTAATTGTGTGCGACTTAAGGACACAGAGTGTGTCCATTAATCTTCCTGCAGAACATTCGTCCCGTATTTGTTGCCATCTTCTAAGACAGACTTCACTATGGTGTATTTAAAGTCACTATGGCGAGACGTGAAGTCGAAAGGATCAACATTATCTTTTTGTAATCCTACCCTAACAAGATTATCTTCTGTGTCAAAACAATGTAAACCGACATAAATTGTGACTGTGACTGTGTTGGTATGACTGTGACGGTGTTGATACTCATGTGGCAGTGTTGATATGACTGTGACGGTGTCGATACGCATGTGGCAGTGTTGGTATGACTGTGACGGTGCTGATGCGCATGCAGCAGTGTTAATATGACTGTGACAGTGTTGATACGCATGTGGCAGTGTTGATATGACTGTGATGTGTTGATACGCATGCGGCAGTGTTGATATGACTGTGACGGTGTTGATACGCATGTGGCAGTGTTGATATGACTGTGATGTGTTGATACGCATGCGGCAGTGTTGATATGACTGTGACGGTGTTGATACGCATGTGGCAGTGTTGATATGACTGTGACGGTGCTGATACTGATGCGGTAGTGTTGATATGACTGTGACGGTGTTGATGCGCATGCGGCAGTGTTAATATGACTGTGACGGTGCTGATACGCATGTGGCAGTGTTGATATGACTGTGACGGTGTTGATTCGCATGTCGCAGTGTTGATATGACAGTGACGGTGTTGATACTAATGCGGCAGTGTTGATATGACTGTGGTGTTGATACTAATGTGGCAGAGTTGATATGACTGTGACGGTGTTGATACGCATGTGGCAGTGTTGATATGACTGTACGTCC